TCACACACACACACACACACACGCACACGCTAGCCTATATACCATCAAGGATGGAAGAAACACACAGACTGGTGCCTACCAGCTCAGATCCCGAGGCAGGTCAGAAGGCTGATACCCAGCTCCTGGGAGGAATGAGTGGGATTTCTCTGACTCCAGAAACGGATGAAAGGCTTCTTGGCTGAAGGTCACCCTGAAAGGCTCCCCACTCTTCCAGCATATGTCTTGGGCCTGGTCCAGCTCATGGGTGCATATTTCCCATCCAATCAGTTTTCTCCAGGATAGCACCCCTGCCCAGACACTGACTGCTCATCCTAGAAAACAGAAGCTACATACACAGGCTGCGTAGACAGGGCTGCGTAGACAGAGCTGCACAGACAGAGCTGTGTCAGGTTGTGCCCATATTGGAAATGCAGCCAAGCTTCCAAAAGCCCACCCTCTGCTGGGAAGCAGCACCTTGCAGTGCCTTGGAAAGGTGCTAAGGTGCTGGCTGGGCCCTCCATGGCATGCCTGGAAGTTCCCCGAGTCTCTTGGAGTCTCCAGGAGCTCTGGACCACTATTTCTAGACAGGCCTCCCAACCTACCCTGACTCGCTGCCTAAGGATCTGGTCACCTGGGTTGCAGGCATGTCCGTGGCTGTGAGCCTGGGTCCCAGTCCCCTGTGCATGGGCCTCGTCCTTCCTGTGTCCTCTCCAGCAGACCGTGCTCCTCCTGTGGATGTTCAGGGACAGGGTCCACACCTACTGCCATCTAACCCAGTGAGGGAAAGGTTGAAGTATTGACTTTGGGGAGAAGATGCAAACATGTGGATAGTCTCCAGGGCCAGTGGCTGCAGCAGGGTGGACCCCCAGAATCAGAGCACGGGTGCAGCCCTGCCATGCATGCGGAAGCCACCAGTGTTGAAGCTACCCAGGTGGGAGCCACAAAAGGAAATGAAAGGGTTCTTTGTGTTGCCTCCCCAACCTTCTTCCTGGCATCTTACATCCCTTCTTGTTCATTCTGCAAACCCCATTCCTGGGGATCTCAAATCAGAAGTTTACCATGAGGGTTCTAAATCCAGAGTTCCCAGGGACTCTGGTTGGATTTGAAGGACCTTTTCCCAAGGGACCTGCATGGCAGACAAATGTTCCCAGTAAGCAGGGAAGGTGGGTAGAGCCCAGCACCCTCCATCTTTGAGGCCTAACCCATGGACCTCTCCCCTTTCTGCAGACCCCCCTCCAGAAGCGGTGTGCCCTCAAAGCTGCCAGGTGCTGTGTGCCACAGGAGAGGCTGGGGACAACCATCCAGCATGGTCACCCCATTCTGCCCTGCGCTCTCCTATTTATCAAAGGGAAGGCCTAAGCAGGCCATAGGCCACACAGATGGCTGAATGTCACAGTGCAGTGACCTTGACTTCCATGTTGACTCTCTGAAAGGTCATGAGCATAGAGGGATTCCCGGCTACTTCCTGAGAACCTCCTAGCTGTGGTCACAGCAGATTCCACACCTCAACATCTGTGGAAGACTTCTCCATTCTGACTCAGGTAGACCCTTGCAGGGCCTCTATATCCCCACCCCCTAACATGAAGCCCCCAGACTCTATCCTACCCCAAGGGTTGGGGACATTCTCCACCTCACCCATTCCTGCCTGCCCCTCCATTCCTAGCAAGTCAGCCAGGATTTCAGGCTCTCTCACTGCCAGGGGAAGAGTGAAACCACCTCCCAGCTCAGCCCTTCTGCACCCCAAACCCATCTGGCTAGGTTCCTTCTGTCTGACCACTTTCTTGGGCATGGGCTTAATGCCTGAGGCTGAAATGGGTCCTCTGGGGTGAGGGGTGGCAACGTCTTCAGGGGGCAGTTTCCTATCCTCTCTGACCCACACTCCACATCTCAGCCTCACATCCTGCTTTTCCTTGTCCAAGGCCAGGGATCCTGGGCCTGCAGGGCAGCAGTAAGGCCAAGGCTGAGGCTCAGAAACAAGGTCTTCATCTCTGGGGGTCTGTGCTTGCCTCCTCCTGACAGGCCACCTTCTGGGGCTGGGGCAGGAGGTGCCACCTCCTCACAAGGCTGCCAGTTTATTGCTCACCTGAGGTCTCCAGAGACTGTGGCAAGACTACTGATCGTCCCTTTCTGGCCATAACCCATGACCAGTTCTGCAGTGGAGCATATAAAATGTCATTATTGCTGGAAGATAATGGTAATAGCTTGTTAATTACCTAGGCAACCGCCAACACCTGGCCAACCGTCCAGAGGAAGGGATCTGTAGATTTTACCTGGGAGAGAAGTGAGTTTGAGGCAAGGGTCTGGATGTTCTTGTGTGGAGGGCCACTGAGGGGATGCGTGTGGTGACCATGGACACCTTCAGCCCATGTTATAGGGCACCTTGGCTGGCAACAATGCAGGCTGTCAGAGGATGCAGATGAGTCAGAGCATTACAGGCTTGGGTATCCCCTACCTTTCTCTGTCCCAAGGCAGGTGACTTAACCTTGGACTCATTATGAAAAAGAGGAGCCCTGCTATGTGAACATGATACCACATGCACTTATAGAGAGTGCCTGCCCTTCTGAGCAAGGTGTGCAGTGAGGTCCCTCTCTGCTCCGTATATAGAGCCAATAGCTCAGACAGATGGAGAGAAAACCAATACAGATATACGTGTGTGCCTACACACACACACTCACACACACACGTACACACACACACACTAGCCTACCTACCATCAAGGATAGAAGAAACACACAGACTGATGCCCACTGGCTCAGATCCCGAGGCAGGTCAGAAGGCTGGATACCCAGCTCCTGGAAGGGATGAGTGGGGTTTCTCTGACTCCAGAAAGGAGGCTGACACCTTCCCTGACACATCCCAGAGGCTGTGTCTATTACAACTTAGTGACATTTGCAACATGTGTATCTTTGGAAGGCAACAGGTCATAGATGTGGCCTCCAGAGTGAAACTGAGATAAGCCATCCTATGGTACGGTGACTGTAACTGTGACACCTTCCATACTAGAACAGAAGTGATGAGAGGCAGAGGTTATGAAAGGCTGCTAGACTGACAGCGGTGACAAAGAAGTGACAGAGAGTGGCAAAAATGCATCGACAGCATGTCCTCACCTTAAATTGAGCTAGCAAGTATATGTTACAATTTACACCCAGAAATATCACACTAAGAAAGACAGACTAAGTATAAACAATTTGAGAAATTCAGGGCTTGAAGGTAGGGTGTCACAAAGGATTGAGACCAGAGATGAGGAAAAGGTTAAATCAGCAGGATAAAGCTCTTTCGGAACAGAAGCAAAACTGCACGAGAGCTGAGCCCATTTATTCCAAATTAAATCAGATAAGCAGTGAGTGAGTTTAGCTATAAAAAACAGTGCACAATGACATTCTTTGTAGGCTATATTTCTGGTACTAGATCAATAGCTATCATCAAGTTAGTACTTATATAATATCTTGGCTTGCAGAATGTCACCCACCATCTTGAAACAAGCCCATACCTGGAGCTCCATCTGGTCGACAATGCAGTCCCTGAAGATTTCCATCTGAGAAGTAATGAGCAAAATAGGTAAAGGTACTCCTAGACTATACAGTGAACTGCAGAACATCAAGGATAGAGAGAATGAAGTAAAAAGTATTAGAAGACAGAAACACATTACCTACAGAAAAAAATGAGTATTGACTGATGGTGAATTTTTCAATAGCAATATTAAATTCCACAAATGATGAATTACTATCTTTAACAAACAGAGGGAAATAAATATCCACCCTAGAATATTATATCCAGCTAAAGTTTCATAAAATATTGAAGGCAAAGCGAAGACATCTAGACATAGGAAAAGTTGAGTCTACTGCTCACTGATCTTTATTTTTATTTTTAAAATTTTGCTATACAGTGTAAGTGTTTTTCAGAAAGAGACAAAGAGAAGAGGGAGGGAGCGAGGAAGGGAGAGAGGAAGAGAGAGAGAGAGAGACTGAGAGAGAGAGAGGGAGGACATCCTCCATGGGGGATGGCCACCTTACAATTCCTTAGCCTCCATTCTCCTCTTTGGGTTATGGATATGCATGCACATATACCTGGTATATTTATTTTTCAAACTGCTGGGTCTGGGATTTGAACTGTATGGTTGGCTAAGTGGGATTCACCTTAACCACCATTGCTATCCTGAAAGCCTTTCTCCACCCCCAGTCTAGGTGGGGTGTCCTTTGTCTGAGCTTCCATGGCACTCATGAAATGGGACTCATGCCGTGGGACCCCACCTGGCTGTGGGAGTGAACATGGCCTTGGCTTACATGCTTGTGTCTGTGGACAATGACTATCCTGAGTATGACACCTGCCCTCTGGGGCCTCCAACCTCTTCCTGCTTTCCCCTTAGTCATCTCCCCTCTGTCCCCTCCACCTGCAACCCCTACCTAGCAAGGCAATATCTGTGTATGTGCACAGTCTTGGGGATGTCCATGGAAGTGCGTAAACAGAGGTCCCCAGGATTTTAGAGGATCTCACATCCAAAGTCAACTCCAGGGCAAGTATGGCTCTCTCCTAGGAGGCTATCTGGGATCCTCTCAGGGCCTGCCTCTTTCCTGATTGTTTCCTGATTGTTCCATAAGAGGTTCACCGTAAATGTCATTGTGGCGGTTGAGCTCAATCCTGAGGTGGTTGTATGGAGAGTGTGCTTAGGGGCGCTCTGGCTTGCCGCCAGCTAGAGGACGTTAAGGGCAGTCCAAGGGGCAGTCGGGCCTCTGGGATCCTGCCCCACAGATGCGAACGCGAGTCCTGGTCGGTATCACGGACAACGCTTGAATGTGTTCTTCCTCCCAGTGCGCACGCACCCAGCAGCAACGATGAGGAGCATTAACACCTTACTATCCAGTGCGCATGTGTCCTGCTCCCAAGGCGCGGGAGCGCATCCTCTACTTGCCAGAGCACATGCACTCTGCTCACTGGCGGGAAGCTCAAGCCCTACTTTCCAGTGCGCATGCTCCAAAGGCGAAGCGCTCATCTTCCTGCTTGCGCGCGATCTACTCCAACGGCTCACTGAACAGTGTCTCCAGTTTACTGCTCCAGCAATCTGCCCTGTACCATCCAAGGATCTTGGAACATCGGGTCACCCCCGACCCAGCCTGGCAGAGTCGCACGCAGAGCATGGGACCTGCAGATGAGTCAGGCAATATACTCCGTACTCGGTTTCCTGATCCGCACTTTACCTGCTGCGCTCCTCTGGGTGAGTGGCTGGAGTCAGGGGGACCAGAGGCAGCTGGAGACCCTGAATCTGGGCAGAGAGAAGACAGGTGCCCCTCCCACCCTCCCCTCCACCCACTTCCTCCGTGTCTTCTCATGCAGGACCCAGATACACAAGGTCCAGCCTGTCCCTGGCTGCAGCACTGGCTGTTGTAAGAGAGTGCCAGGCAACCAGCGCTGAGCCAGTGGGGCACTCACTGCTATTAGGGAGCCCCTGGGTTCACTGAAAGTTTACCCATTTTACACAAGGACTCCGCATTCAAGGCCACAGTTCTCCACGTGACCAAGCTCAGCATACGGGGAACCCAGAACCATTGTCTTCAGCATCGTTCCTCCCGGCACTGATCATCAGAGGCCTCTTCCAGGCATGAGGCCTCCCTGGCCAGACCCCCTTCTGAGTCCAGAACTTCAGGTATCTTAACTTCCCTGCTTTTCACACCCACAACACACCATCATGGGGTGGGAGTCACTGTCTGATTTTCAAACCAGGAAACAGCATTGGAGAAGTCACCACGTGTGCTTGCCTGCTACAGCCCAGGACGTGGGCCAGCAGAGGGTCTGAAGCCAGGTCCATGAACCCCAGACCCAAAGACTGTGCTCTGACAGGAGCCCTGAAGGTGAGGAGTCCCTCATGGATGTGGGGTATGGGGAGGGGACAGTACAGGGAGGGAGGTCTGAGGGGCCAATGGCAAAGTGGGGCCCTTGGGCCAAGAAGGACAGGAGTCTGAGTTGGGGTGTGAAATGTCCCTGGGTGGGCCTCTGGACCGGATCATACAGGTTCTGAACACTGGGCAAGGAGTTGGGGTCATTGCCAATCTAGGGTACAGGGGACCTCATCAAGGTGGTCTTCTCAGAGCCACAGAATCTCAGATCTGGAAGCGGGAGCTGACACTGGAGGGGTCCAGGAACGACTGGGAGATCGTCTCAGCACTGTGGTGACTGATAGGTCTGCAGAAGCCCAAACACTGCAGAGCCCCTCAACAGCGTACAACTCCAAAGGGTTCTCAACACAGGTACCCTGTGCACATTGTGGGTGCAGAGTGGGGGATACTGGCTCCAGGAAGGGAGGGTCTGGGTAAAGACCATCAGGAAATAGACCAGGCAACACCTTCTTTACCTGGTCATCGGGGGACCCTGGGACATGTTCATTTTGATCTTTGATTCTTCGGACTTGGAGGATCCAGCCAATGCACATCGACCACATCCCAGCTCCTGAGGGAAGCCTGAGCTGATCACAGGACATGGAGTAGGAACTGCCCCTGATCATGAGCTCTATGTTAAGGGCCAGGTGGCCTGATGGAAGGGCTGGCTTTGCAGTGCTCAGACCTGGGGAATAAGCGGGTGCTCTGTAGAGTCCACGGACATAGGTTGCACAGATGTGCACCAGGGAAAGTGTGAGCGATATGCACAGAGGGAGGTGCCTGCTAGCCGGAGAGCTCAGTGCCCCATGGGCAGTGCTCCTTTGAAAATGTCAGCTACTCTTTTGGATGCCAGAGGGCAGAAGGCACCTAAGACAGCAGGTGGTCCATGGGAGGCCAGGGCTGCCCATCTTATGCCCAGCAACAGAAAAGGTTCAGGGTAAAACTGGAATTAAGGTGCCTGGGGCTGCAAGTGGGCAGAAAGTGTCTGGATGTCCTGACCCACTCCAGGCCATAAGCACTTAGTTATCCAGCAAGTGAGACCCAAGGAAGGGAAGCCCTATGGCAGATCTTTGCCAAGGCTGTTAGAAGATGACCTTGGTGAACTAGAAAAACATGTGCAAAGTCAACCTAAAGTTAACAGGAAGAAGGGAACAATAAAGATTAGTGTGGAGATAAATGGACTAGAGAACAAAGAGGCACTAGAGAACATCAGTGAAAACAAATGCTCCTTCATGAAAGAATTGACAAACCTGTAGCTAGTTAACTAAGAAGAAAAGACTCAAATTGTTAAATTAGAAATGGCAATGAGATATCACTAATGATCCCACAGAAAGAAAAGTATTACTAACAGAATATCGTGAACAACTATAGACCAACCAGTTGGTTAACTAGATGAAGTAGATGAACTTCTAGAAGAAAACTACCACAACAGACCCAATAAGAAATGGAACATCTAAATAGACCTAGAATAAGGAGGGAGATTAAATCAGTAATCACAAATTTCCCAACAAAGAATACCCAAGGACCAGATGACTTTCTTCGTGCATTCTCCCAAATTTTAAAGAAATAACAACAATCCTTCTCAAGGTCTCCAAAATTAAAAAAGTGAGGAAGGTATATGTCTTAACTCATTCTTACTGTATTACTATCCTACCAAAGACAAAGACTTAACAAGAGAAGAAAATGACAAAATAAAATATGAATACAGATACAAAAATTGCCAACAAAATATTCACCAGTAGCGTTTAGCACATTGCCAGCATGCCCCTGGCATGAAGAGATAGAAACACATGAGAGAGAGAGAAAGCATCCTCTAATGTAGCATGGTCTTGCTGTAATTTCTTCTCCATTTATTCACCCTGTCAGGATTTTGCGTATGCATGTACACATGCTCAACGTATTTTTTCCAAGCAACTGTGGTTGGGATTTAAACTCTTGTTGGCCACATGGGATCCAACTCAACCACTAGCTGGTACCATCTAGCAGAATATATTGAAAGGACCATGCGTCATAATCAAGTATTATTTATCCAAGGAATGCTAGTGTTCTTCAACAAAGGAAAATGATGTAATGAAATAACCCCATTAAGAGAATGAAGAGAAAAGAAAGCAGTCAAAGTCAAGAAAGGTTTTTGACAAAAATCCAATTCTCTTTCATCCTAAGAGCACAGATAGAAAAGAAATATAAGAGAACTTTCTCAAGAGATAAAAGATAGTTATGAAAAACTCATGCCTGCAGTCATACTTACTATCGAAAGACTGGACGCTTTCTAAGATGAAGAACAAGGCAAAGTCACTGTCATACCTCATTTCCACGTTATATTGAAGTTGGGCCAGAGCAATTAGGCAAGACAAAGAAATAAAGGCACTGAAATAGAAGTAAAATATCTTTATTTGTGGTTGAAAGAAATTTAAATGTAGAAAATCTTAATAAAAAAAAAACTATTAGGGTTAGTGAATATTTTTAGTAGAGTTTAAATGGAGAAGATCAACATAAACAGGTCAATGCAAAACAACGGAGACTCAAGGAATAAATTCATACACTGCATTCACTTGATCTTGAGCATGGAGACCAGAATCATTCAATAAGGCAAAACAATCTCTAACAAATGGTACTGGCAAAACTGAATACCCTTAGGCAAAAGAGTGAACTTGGAGCTCTATATACCACCATATAAGAAATATAAAAAATTAAAAATTAAATAAAAGAAAAAAAAAGAAATTGACGTGAAATGAATCAAAAGCCTAAGTTAAATAGATGAAATTCTCGACAACTCTTAGAGCAAACAGGGACAAAGCTTCATAACCTTTGGTTTGATAGTAGCTTCTTCAATATGACACCAAAACCACAAGAAACAAACAGCTAATTTGAACTTCATTTACATTAAAAACTTTATGCATAAAGGACACTCTTAAGAGAGTGAAATGTGAACCCATGGTAGAAAACATTTACGATCGGGCTAGCCAGTGACATGGAGGTTGAGGCAGCTGGGTCCCACATGGCTGACTGCACAATTGGAGTCCCAGAACTGGTGGCTTGAGTAACATGCCAGGTGCGTGTACATGTGTGCCCAAAATCCCCAAAGGAGAAATGGAGGGGAATGAATTTTGGCATGATCATTCTTGGGGGTTGCTTTCTCAATTCCCTCTCTCTCTGTCTCTGTACACCATTGAACACATGCACCCTCTAGCAAATAAAAAAAGGAAGAAAAATATTTACAGTTTATAAATCAGATAGGAATATTATGTCCAGAAAAATATCTCATAGCTTACACCCAAAAGACAAATAGCACTATTTAAAGTGAGTAAATGACTTGATTAGACACTTTTCCAAAGCAGATATACAGATGGCCAGTAAGAACATGAAAAAATGACCAAACTCATTATGTGAATGCAAATTAAAACCAGAATAATAACACTCCATACCCACTAGGGTGGTCGTAATTAAATAACTAAATAAAAAACCAGAACATCATAACTGATAGGATGTGGTGAGTTGGAAACCTCACACTTTTTTGGGGGAGAGAGTGGAATGTTATATGCAGTGCTGTGGAAAACAGTTTGATAGTTTCTTAAAAAGTTAAGCATAATATGGGACCAGCAGTTAGTGTAATGGCTGTCGCTGGACTCCCATGTAGTCGACCGTGGTTCGAGTCCTGGACCCGGTAACTTAAACTCACACCGGGTATGTGTGCGTGTGTGCCCAAGATCCCGAGAACAGAATGGAGGAGAAGGGATTGTGGCGTGGCCATCCCCCCTAGGGGGTGATTTCTCACTTTCTGTCTCTGTCTTTCTCTCTCTGTCTGTCTGTCTGGTGAGCGCAGGCGCCCTATAGCAAAACCTCTCAAAAAAAAAAAAGTTAAGCATAATGTTACCACTTACTCTGAAGTACATATCCAAAACAATTGAATATCCAGGATGCCAGAGGGCAGAAGGCACCGAGCTATCTACCTTATTCAAAGCATCTGAAAGGTAGAAACAATCTAAATTTTCATCAACTGATACATGGTTGAACAAAATGTGATGTGTGAATGGGCTACTCCCATGACGTGGTGGTTAAGGGACCTGGATTCCACATGGCCAACTATAGTTTGAGTTCCTGATCTTGTGGCTTGAGAAACATGCTGAGTATGTGAGTCCCCAGTCCCAGCAGGTTGGAGAAAGGGAGGAGAATGGATTGTAGCATGACTGCTCCACTGGGGGACACTTTCTTCCTTTCCCACTCCTCTGTCTTTCTGTTTTTCTCTGGTGAGCTCATGAACCTTCTGGTATATTAAAGAAACATGCAAGTTGCATATGCTGGCATGTTCCACATCCTGACAAGATAGAGAAATGGAGGAGAAGAGATTGTAGTGTAACTGTGCCCCATTAGAGAGTGGCTTCTTCCTCTCTGTAACTGTCTCTCTCCAGTGGGTGCATGCAATGGGTGCATGCACTAACATTTAAAAATAATCTGGTATATTCATACAGTGGAATACCATAAAAAGATGAGGTATTGATGTATACTACAAAGTGGATGAATCTAGAAAGTATTATCCTTAGTGAAAGAAGCTTTTCAGAAATTTATGAAATTTGAATGATTCCATTTGTATGAAAAACCTAGCATAGGCAAATAATATAGGTGACAAATTCATGGTTGTCAGGAAGTAGAGAAAATAGTTATCAATGGCTTGATGGGTATTGGGATGATAAAAATGTTCCAGAACAAGAGTGGTGATGGTGTACAGCATAGTGGTCGTTTTTGCCAATGCATTATATAATTCAAAATTTTAAATAGGTAAACATATTTTATATTGAATTTGTGACAGAATACAAGTAACCATAAGAAATACGAAAAGAAAAAAGAAAAATGAACAGGATTGTCTTACATATGAGAGACAGGAAGTATCAGGTCTTGGCTGGCCCTGGCTGCATCTTGGGAGCTGGTGCCAGTCAATTCTAGCTGAGGATCTGGTCCCAGCTGTAGCTCTGGATGTGGCGCTGAACTTGGCTTTTGCTGCAAGATAACATAGCCTGGCCCTGAAGTGGGTGGCAGAGTGACTGTAAGTCAGGAAATGGTGCTGCAGCCAGACCTGGAGTTGGAGCCAACTCTTAATTCTGCACTGGCTCCAGCCCTAGAAGAGGTGGTAGAGCCGATTAGCACTCTAGAGCTGGGTTCTAGCTGGCCCGGAGCAGCTTCAGTGAGAGAGCCACCTCCACCTGATGTGTTCCTGGCAGTGCTGGTGCTTGAGCTCTTTCTTACGGAGACATTGGAGGCGACTGGTTAGCTCTGGAGTTCACACGGACTCTAGCTTGAACTGATGTTGGAGTGCTCGATTTTGGAGTGCTCGTTGTTGGAGTCCTCGGAACCTGGTGCTGCATCCGTGCGTAGACTTGGGACTGGCTCTCACTTTGGAATGAATCTGTTTGAAGGTGGACCAAACGCTAGAGGTGGTCCCAGAACTATCAGGAGATGTGGCACAGGGTGTTGTGATAAAGCTTCCTCTAACTTTGGGCTTGGTGTTAGAGCACATAATGGAGTCATTTCTAGCTCTAGAGCTAGTGCCACAGCTGCCTGTAGCCTTGGAGCTGGTGTAGGAGCCAGCGCTACAGCTGCCTCTCCTCTGCCATTGGCTCTAGGTCTGTGTCAGACACTGGCTCCAGTTCTACAGTTGGTGTGGCAGCTGCTTTCATCTCTAGACAGAGGTTTGCCTCGGTGTCCTCCTGTGTACAGTGGGGCTGTGGAGCCCACCTGCCTCCTCCCAGGATCAGGCATGAACCTGGAAGGACTGCACCTGGCTACCTGTCAAAGTAGCCCTTTAGGAGAGGTCTGTACCCCTGGAGGTCTGGGGTGGGGGGTGGTCCAGGGATGTCATGTACTCCTGACTCTCTGGAGTGCTCTTGTACATGCTGTCATTGTCCTTGCCCACACTGATGCCCCCTGAAGATGGTGGAGCAGCAGTGAGGAGGTGTGCTTGAGGACCTCAGAGGCAGAGTGTTTGTGGGTAGATGTTGGCCGGTGGCATGATGGAGGGAGAAGAGGACATGCTGGTAGAGACATGTGTGATATTGTAATCTCTGGGGGATGATTGAAAGGTCAGTTCCTGAAATGTGGGAGCTACTGGGTCAGCAAAAGACGCTGATCCTGCAGAGATCCACAGAAAACCATCCACTATGGGGGCTTCTCAGGAGCAGGGCTCATTGGGTCCTTTTGGGGGTGCAGAGTGGGAAAAGCTGGCACTGGGTAGGAAGTAGCTTAGGAAAGGAAGAGAGAAGAGATCTGGCCTGAGAGTCTAAGTGGGAACAGGAATTGGGATGGCGCTGGGTTGGGGAGGGGTAGGAGGGGCCAGGACCTGTGAGCAGGAGCTCAGAAAGGTCAGGGCTGGGTTCAGGAGGGTCGTGTGGGTCTGTAAGGACCCTGCTGGCACTGAAAGCCCACTCCTGTGACTCTATTGGCGTTGGAGCTCTGAATTCTGAGTCTTTGACCTCCTTCAAAGGAGAGGTCACTTTTGGAGTCACTTGCAGCTTCTTGTTCCTGGTGCCTGGGCAGAAAGTCTAACTGGCTCAT